ATATATTATTGAATTTTTATTTATCAACAAGGTTGCTAAGGGTCCGTTTGGACAAACTTATTTAAAATATTATTTAATTTTTATGTTATAAGTACTTAAAATTTAATAAATTGTTGCATTTGAATATACGTTTTATCAAACATTTATATAATTATAAAGTGTTTAGATGTATAATTATTTAAGTACTTATAAAATATTATCTCATTTTAAAAGTTAAAAAAATTACAAATTAAATTTTGACTAAAAGCAAAATAAAAATATAAAATGTAACTAAATAATTTTTAAAAATGGTAATATACATCACAATAGTATTAAAAATGATAAAAAAAAATTACATTTTAGTTTATAAGAAAATAAAATAAAATACTAAAATATGATAAAACAATTATATAATCATGATTCAAAATTAAGAATCCTAAATTTTAAAAAAGTAAAAATTAATTTTAAATATTTTATAAAATCATGATTAAAAAATTATTGTATAAATATCAACCAAAAAATTATTCGAAATGTGCTACTTTAGAGAAAAGAAAAATTTTATGAGATTTTTTTTAATAGAGAAATGTGAATTTTAAATCGCCATAAAATGGAATTTTCATAAAATAATCAAAAAATACATTTTTTTACTTGTCTCACATTTTCTAACATTTTTAAACCATGAAAAATGCACTTCATTCTACATTAAAAATTGATGCATTTTTATTATTTTAAAAATATATTTAGAATTATTTTTAAAGTGTGTTTTTATTATAAATCGACAAAGAACAATCTATATATTTTAGATATTTATTAAATTATTATTAATTATATTAATTATTGAAAATTAATAATGACTATATTATATTGTTATTTATTTCAAGTAACTGTTAAATAATAATTTTACTTATCGAATTCTATAATTACTTATTTTAGTAAATTTTACCTATAATTATAATAATATTTACATGTTTTGTATATTTCTTGTTTAAATATAATTATGCAAAGATACATTAAATTAACAATCTTCAACATTATAAAAAAATCAAGACAACATATAGTCATAGGTCTAGCATGACACATATTTTTCATTATTAAGACATTAACATCCATCAACTCTAAAACATATCCAACCTATTAAGTAACTCAAAAAATCAAATTCATGCATGATCAATTATCAAAAGCAAAATATGTAAATTGTCCCAAAATTAATCTTGTTTCAAATGTAGAAACATAGATTCAAATTCATGAGTTCATCATGTCCAACAAAAAAAAATAATAATAATGTCAAACTCTATGAAGATTACTATCTAATGAAAATCCTTCGTATGGTGTTGGCATGTCATGTCCACTCACTTCATCCTGTAAAATACAAATTGTTTAATGTTATCCTTATTAATAAAATATGCATAAAATATTAAACTTTTAAGTATTGATATAATTTAATTTAGTACAAAAACATATAAAACACTTACTGCTACATTGCTACTACCAAACATAACCTCTAACTCAGTAGGAATATATCCTTCCTTCATTTGTATGTAAGAAAGCATGACATTTTTTAATGTCTTGACATTTTCTTGAGAAGTTGTCAATTGATCCTTCAAATTAATTACTTCCTTTTTTAGTTGAGAATTTTCAGTTGAATCAAATTTTGAAGAACTACACCCTACACCACTAAATCTTGTGGATGATTGAAATGCAACACTATGTAGACCTCCTAATCCTAAGTAACATACACATCCAACATGATCATTTTCCAACACTTTACTAATACTATAATTAGTTGAAATTTTATTAGATTTTCCACTTTGACTCATTTCTGTTGACGTCTTCTCTTGAAAGAAAAATGAATGAAAATAAATATTTTACATCAATGTTTGCTTGGTCACATTATTTTACATATTTATAAAATTTCTTAGAAACAAAATTTTCAGATTGCTCAAACAATCCTAAACTTCTTGTACCAAGGTTAGGATCTAATAAAACTGCCAATACAAGGTTAGTAACCAAGTTCTGAATCCTAATTATTTGATAATAAAAATACTCATCACTCTAATTTTTGTATTCATGTTTTTATTTTTGCTATTTTCCTTGTTTGCAGAAAAATGCAAAAGTTGTTACTATTGATAGCTACGAAGATGTTCCTGCCTACGAAGATTTTTTATCCATTACTACATCCATCCGACTAAGCTCAATGAGAAGAAAAAACTAGATAAGTAAATTAATTTTTAAAATGGCTTATATAAAAATGAAAATTAGATAAATAATTTAAAATATATATAAAAAGGATTTAGATAAGTAATTTTAAAAAAAATTCATGGTTACCTAAGGTGTAGCACTTAGTTAATGCAAGTGAAGTAAATTGAGAGAAGCTTTTTAGTTAATCTAAGAGAACAAAAACCTACTTTAGTTTAAATTTGTATACAAATAAATTATTTAAAAATTGACATACATGAATTAATTAGATAAATGATATTTTACCTATAAAAAGAAAAAAATGTATTTATAATCAGAATACAAACTATAAAAAGATAAATAAGAGTTAAAATCAATTTAAATTTTAGTTAGATCTAACATATATCAATATTCTATTAGTTAATGATATTAGTTAATCTACTTTATTTTTAAATATTCTATAGTCAATTATTAATATTATATTCAACTAACATAAATATTATATCAATATTAAAATATTAAAAATTAGGATAATAGAATTAGTTCTGACAAATTTTTAATAACTTTGTTTTTACTATAGTCTTAAACAATGTAATATACTTCCTTTATTGAGGCATATGTTTGGATAACTTTTTTGAAAATAGCAATGAGATATGTTTCCATGAGTTATCTTCAAACGTTTTTGCTTTTTAAAATACTTTACATTTTACCAGCCAAACCTTTTTGGAAGAATATTTTAAATACTTTTTTAAACATAAATATTTAACATATTCCCTATAATTGTTCAAAATTATGTAGAATCCTCATCACTACTTATCAAGGATATCCTATTCCTTAAAGTAATATGGGTAATATAATTTTTTTTAATCACAAATAACTAGCCACATTTAATTTGTTTGGACATTCAACAACTTATACTTGTGCAGTAAGATTTTGAACCAACATACGATGATCAAAAGGAAGGTGAACACTAGCCTTGATTGCAATAACATTCATGCTTGTATCCCCTGTTTTCATTCCACACAATGAACAAAATAAGCTAATATGCTAATGCATGAATACCTTTATTTTCTTTTTTGTGTTTCTACACTCTTTAGGCATCAGTCAAAATAAATTAAAAGAAAAACAAGG